TGTCTTTGTGTCGGAATGGAAAAGAGCTCTTCTGCCTGAGTTCTGAAATCACAGTGACCATGTACCCTGCCCTCACACTGAACTTGTTTGTAAACACTTTTCTAAGGCTACCTAAACACTTACTAACTGCTTAAATATGCTGCCTACATTAATTCCTGTTAAAATTAAAGAAATAAAGGTATACCTTTGTTTCCAAGCAATGACTGACATGCTTTCAACGTATTCAGTGTTTCAGGAAAAACACTGTTTATCAGGTTCTTAAAATACTTTGAATGATGGCTCAAGCGAGAGTGTCTCTCCTTGCACCCTGAACAGATGCACTTGCTTAGCTTCTGCTCAACAGACACACTTTCCTTCTTCTGAAACTCTTTCCTCATGTGTAACAGGTTAATTTTTTACATGTTAAATTCCCAAGAAATAAAATAACAAATAATAATATTAAAACATTTCTAGAAGGATGAACATTTTGATTACACAACTTGAGAAAAATGATTATTTAAGCAAACTTCAAAGACAGCCATGGACATAGGTTTTAGTTGTCTGTCTTTTAAAATCCCAGTTACAATAGGAACAGAACATTTAATTTAGAAAACAATAATTTAATCCTTAGGTAAATTTCCAGAATATCTTATGAAAACGTATTTAATAACAATAAAGATTATGATAATAATGAAGGAAAATTCCCATATTTGATTTACATTAAAACATAAACAGCATTCTTAAAATTTCCAAATTCATTGATAAAAGCAAATTCACTACTTTAGCTATAAAATGTCTGTTTATTGAAATATTTTGATTATAATAAATACACAGATAGGGAGTTTTATCAGTATTAGCCCACACTCACTAAATCATCCATCACAGCAGAAAAATCCTTTTCAGAATTTTGAACAGCAACACTGAGCATCTAAGTCTCAGATAGGAATCTAAATCGGTGAGATTTCTTTGACTTTAAGTGAAGTAAGAATGTGGAGCAGGAGATATCCTTAGATGATTTCTGTAAATTGGTATAATTTAATAGGACTTCCAGACAAAGGAAGTTCAACAGGTAGGATTTCTAAGACATCAAAACACCTTAATGCAACCAATTCAAACCAGCTATTGTGGCACTCCCTATCTAAAGAAGACTCAAAGAGTTACAGTTTGAAATTGGGCATTCTAAGTACATTTTCTAATTTAGAAAAGTAGCTGGTTGTACAAAGCCCAAACATAAAAGTTTATATCACCCTATATGTGAAAGAATAACCTTTAATAGGAGAACTTCTGTTGAGGCTGACAATAAAGAATGGAATCTTATTTTTAAGTGCCCAAATAACTTAAATGGCTCAATGAGCTAACAACTAAAATCAAAACTTGCCTTGACTTTGACTGACACTGAATTTATTGGTATTAGTATTTGGTTTGTCAAAGTGGCAACTGTTCAGTATCCAAGTCTCATGTATTTTAAGCACAAAGCATAATCCTGACTACTTATAGTCAAAGTAACTATCTTAAGCCAAAAACACAATGAAAATGCAAAATAAACTTCAGAGGTTTTCTAAGTAATGATGGAATTCTGAAACCTTTGGACAGAAGGTTATGGTGGGGAGGGGTTATCTTCTTCATTGGTTCTTTAATCTCTTTCCAACCCATTTTGATTTAATAGTGATCTGTGACACTATGTTTTCTTTAGTGACTTCTTAGAAAGCTGCAGTGGTTTCCAAAGTGGGAAACCACAGGGTGATGTGCTCACAGGACACTGACAGTGTTCTCATGGAGGTATTTACAGAAAGGTGCCAAGGAAAGTTCAGTTAGAAACAGGAACTAACACACAATGGACTTTAAAATAATAATTTTTATGCAGTATGGCAAAAGAGAACATTGCCTAAGAAGCCCAAAAATCCAGTTCTAACTCTGATCCATTTCTACAAATTGTAAGAACAAAGCAAAATAGAGATTTATTTCCTAAACTCCATCTGCCTGTGGAAACTGAATGTAAGTTGTTTCCATTCCAGATTAATCTTAATCTCAAATACAGTACAGTTAACAATGTACACATTTTACCTTTTGAAAATACTGGGGACATCTAAGACACAAGAGCCCACAGTAGCTAACGATTAGTAAACATTTCCTGTTAAACACAAATCACTTCAGCCAAAAAAATGCAAATTGATAGGCTTCTGGATTTTCAAGCATTTTCATTTCCAAAGTGTAAAGTTACAACATATGCATAGGGTGGACTTTAAAAATGGATGTATATGTAAACTTTTCCATGGTCTTCATGGGAGCCACTCCCGCCTCCCCAGAAATGTCTACTGCTTACAGTGTTAAGGAATCTTCACCTCTTTGCCTGTAATTTTCAACCAGAAGTCCTCAATGTACCTGAAGCCAAACTGAATATTAGGTATTTTACAAAATGGCTGTAAACCCCCATTATGGGCATACATGGCTCTTTGATCTCACTGCACAGAATTCATAACTGTTCAATAATGCTATACCATTACACCACACACCTTCAACTATTTCCATTTTTCCACAATTCCTTCCAAAATCAGCTTCCAGAGCAAAGCAACGTAACATGAAAAGTTTCTGGGAGGGCTTGTTACATAAAAGAACAGCGTGGATGAAAACTAAGCCACACACGTATCCATCTTCTACTGGGCTTGTTTACCCCTCCTCTCCCTCCATCACTCCTAAACGTGGGTGCACTTGAGTAATGGAAAGAGAAGGCTCTTCCATCACCACACACTTCCAGCACCTCTGCCTTTGGTCCTCAGACAGTAAGTCTCCGTAGGTGATGAAAACCCTAAGAAAAGAGAAGCTGTCTCTTTAAAATGCCCTGCTCTGTCCCAGATCCCACGTGGAACCAACATCAGCAGCACTTTCCCACTAACATCAATGTGATGCAAGAGGCACCATCCTTTTATATACATAAAACCAGAAAACCTCAGTTCAACATTCCTTAGTGAGGGCGAACAGGTGAAGCAAACGTGTCAGGAAGGGAGAAGCCAAACAACTCCCCACCCCTCCCCAGAAGGTTCGCCAGTCTCGCCCTCCAGTCTCTCTGGGCAACAGCACCTTTCTACCCCTCCTCTGGAGAGCCCAGTTTAAAGAAAGGAGGGAGCCACTAACAAAACCTGAGGCATAAATGCGACGAAAAATGCAATCTAAAGCCGCAAAGGTTTATTCTTCCAATCACACACATTAACTCTATTAAGAAAATGGCATCACTCTTTTTCTACCAAAAAAAGCAAGCCCCGCAAAGATCATTAAAAGGGAGTTATAAAATAGCAAATATAGTGTTTATCTTATCTCAGATCAGTCCACATTACCAATAAGTTTAGCAGTTTCTGCACTACCACCTCCCCCTCCCTCCCCCTGCTTCTCTTGCATTGGATTTTCACGTTTTCTCATTGTCGGTGGAGTTATAAAAGGCTTTTGCCCTTCGAAAGTTTTAAAAAATAAATAAATATTAACTCCTTGGTCCCTGCAAAGTCAAAATGGACTTCAGGGGAAAGGCGGTTCACACTTTTACCTTTAGCGAGAAAGGGGGGAGCATCCCGGATTTTTAGGGATTTTTTGCGATTTTTTAACAATTTTTATTTGGTTATATGCCTGAGTTCTCCCTCCATTTTGGTTGTTTATGATACTGACAACAAGCTGTCCCTGCTCCGTCCCGATCTCCTGCTTTCATTTAGCACCCCCTCCCCCTACGCCCCCGCCGCCACCCTGCTGGGTCCGGCGCCCCGCGGACCCCGCACCCCGACTCGGCTATCCCACCTGGGCAGAGGGCAAAAACAAATGCATTTCTCCAGAAAAGAAAAACCTCTTCGGAAAAGGGGGCAAAGTTACCCCAAGTCACTCCCAGTGCCCCCCAAATATTGCCGACCGCGGGTCTCCGCCAGGCCCTTTGGGAAGCGACCTTCCCCCGGGATGTTTTGGTGGAAAATGCGGAGAGTTTCCTCTCAAAACCGAATTTATATTAATTTTTCCCTTATTTTTCGGGTCTCTAATGTCTTCCGCTCTCGCTGCTGCCGCTGCCGCTGTCACAATATTCACAGCACCAGAGAGGAGGAGGAGGAGGAGGAGGAAAACTTTTCAAACTTTCCAGACCCTGAATAAAAGGTTTTTTTTTTTCCCACCGACCTCACCTTCGGGTCCCCAGCCGCGTCGCCCCCTGCCCTGTCAGCAGCGACCTCGGGAGTCCTCTTAGCCCCGCCGCACGATTTTATTTGATTTTTTTATTATTATTTTTCTCTCTGGGGTCCTGAGCAGGGGCTGGGAGTAGCACAAACTTTTCCTCCTCCTGCCGCCGCCGCGGCTCCTCTGCCCCCTCGGCTAGTCCCATAATTTAAATAACCCTGATATTCCTCCCGCTAAACGCCTCCCCGCCGTCCCGGACCCCGGGAGAACTCACCGCGGGGCTTTAACATCCTCCCTCCGGCCCGTCCGCCGCCTTTACACCGCCCGCGGAATTTCTAATAATTTTTTTCTCATATTTCGGGCTGGACGCGGCGGGCCTGGAAATTGTTTCCTTACGCCTCTTTCCAGCAGCCATTGTAGTGTATGCGCTGCCCCTGCAGCTCAACTTGCAGCTGCCGCCGCCGCCGCCGCCGCCGCCGCCGCCGCTGCCGCCGACGTCGCGCCCACTGCCGCCTCCCCCCGCCCGCTCGGCCGCCGCCCCCGCCCCGCGCCCGCCCGCCGGCCCGCCCTGGCCCCCGCCCGCCGCGGTGCCCGCCCCCCTCACGCTCCGCCCGGGCCCGGCCAGTCCGCGCGGCCGCCGCCGAGTCCGGCGGGACCATTGGTCGGCGCAGCTGCCAGTCAGGCCGAAGTGTTAAGAGCGAGGCTGCGGGGCGGGGGGCGCGGTGGGGCGGGGCGAGGGCGGGGTCTCACGCCGTCCCACCCACTCCTCCTGCCTGGGCCCTCCTCCCGCTGCCCGGGGGCGGAGCGAACAACGCCCGCCCCCACCGCACAGAGACCCTCGCGCCTGTCAATCCGGCAGCAGCGCGCGCGGATTGGACGGACTGAAACGGGGGGCGCGGGGGCAGCACGTTGGGGTGCGCGCTATTTAAGGTCCTGCTGCGTGAGCGACTGACGTGTTTGTAGCTGCAGCCGGCTCGGGTGCTGGCGGAGTGGCGACCGGTGGTGAGTGGTCTCCGGCCCCTCCCTCCCTCCACGGCAGACCCTGGACTACACTAGCTGGGGACGCCTACCCTAGTTCTCGGCGCCAGTTCGTCCGCGGCATGCCGTGCTGTCGCTGCTCGTGCTACGCGATTCGTCCGGCCGGGGCAGCGGAAGGTGACCCTAGGCAGGTCTGGGCACCCCGGATTGTGTCACTCCCCGCCCTGCCCTTCCCGGGTCCTCGCGGTCTGCTGCGCCCCCTTCCCCAGCCCCGTGTCGTGTTCACCTGTGCCGGCTGTCCACTGTCTGATACTGCGGAGCGGCACCCCGGAAGGCGATGCGGTCCGGGAGTCGCATCCTTGGGGATTCTCCTCCGATCTCCCAGTTCCCGTTAGTGTGTACTTTGACTTTTTGTCCCTGTTCCTCTGCACCCAGGTTTACGGCGTGGTGTGTTTCTGCTTCCGGATTTAACGCCCAGAGCAGCCTAGGGGCCTGGACGTGTTCAGTAACGTGCCCTTCCCCCACCACGGATCAAAGCTACAAGGAGAGTGGGAATCTGGAACTCTTTGGGTAAGCCATTTGCCCTTTGGAGTAGATTTTTAGTGATTCCTCAGATGTGCTGTAGGTTGGCAGCCTTCCCTCAAACCTTTGGTTTTCTTTTTGAATATCCTCTTGGAAGTAGTAGAGAGTTGTAACAGTTGTTCACTCTGACTCTTCAAAGAGTAAGCAGATAAGGCCTCTTTAGCAGGGCACTCCATCTTGCCCTTCAGCCCCATTCCTCCATGTAAATTGCCATTTCCTCTTCCTGAACAGTTAACACGGGGATTCATACGAAGGAGGTGGTATTCAGAAATCCATGCTTAAAAGTGACTTGCATTGAGAATCCAGAATAAAAAACACAAAAACAATGTAATGGGAATAGCTTGAAGCAGCAAATTTAATGATTGTGTTGTGTAGGTATTTTTAAAGCATTTCTGGCTGATGATAATGAAATAGAACAGAATTCCTTCATGATTAGGACACAGCTTGACTTCTGTTTGTGTCTGATTGTTGTTGAGATGATAATGCCTGTGTATGAACTATCAAGCAGACTTCTGTGAAGACATGACAGGATAGATAATGAAAGAGAAGGTTGTACGTGTTCTTAGTCCCGTTATTTCTGTTAGGAAGAGGCAATCCTGTAAAATCCTGTCTTCTGAGGAGGAGAAACTTCTAGACACAGTTGGACTCTGCACTGAGTCTCTGTCAGCATGCTTCTGTTGGCTGGATGTTTTCAATGAAGGTCATGAAATCAAATAATTATTTGGTGATTATTGAAAGTTAAAGGACTGCAGAATAATCAGATCCGTCTTTTAGCCCAGACATCCTGATCTTTCTCAGTATAGAAGGAACTGGACAGGGTGACCATTGACTGAGAAATGTTCACTTATCAGGAGTTCATGGGCTTAAATTACTTTTTTGGAATATTTATTATTTCTTTTAACATTTTTGTGATGTTTCATACAAAAATTCTGACTTCTCTGAAAAGTCACATACGTTTTTTTTTTAATTCAGTGGAGTTGTATACATAATACTGTCTTACTTCTCTGAAATATACTTTGATTTTTAGTTAAGAGTAAACTAGAACAGGATTTGGGCACGTAAGCCAGATCAGCTTCTTTACGCTTATTATAGGGATTTTTCAAAGATGGTGAGTGACTCATCAATGCCATGTCAATATGTTGAAACAAATAAAGACCATTCTGAAATAACTGTGACTATTGCTTTTTACACCCTGCCTCCTCCTTTGAAGAGAATTGTCACCAGTTTCACTTGAACTGGAGTTTGAAGAGCAGTTGTCTTGAACCATGACTGATAGACTTACTTCATGAAGTGTATTCCTTGATTTGGAATAACTAACTGGCTCTTAGTGAAATGTGGTGTCTTTAACCAATAGACTTTTTGCAAAGCTGTATTTTTAAGACTTGGATTGGAAAATTACTGAACCACAGTACATTCCCTGACTTCCTTCAACCCAGGGAAGTGTTATTTAAGTAGAAGGTAGTGCTGGAATAAACTTTGAATTGTTTTTAAACTGTGGCCTTTTAGAACGTTGACTAAGCAGTAACTGGCTTTTTGATAGATGTGCTGTGTCCCACTGTTTACTACACTTTTGAGAGTTAAGTTTTCTGTGCTTCTGGGGCTGATGATGTTTTCTGGTCATTTCCTTCTGACCTGTTTTTCTCCCTTCTGCCTTCAGTGAGAAGACAAGATGCCTATGGTCACAAGGCGGCTGAGAGATCCTGACATAAACCCTTGCTTGTCGGTAGGGTGACTTGCTTTTCATTGTCATGAGTGTTAACGTGGGAAAACCACTCTTAATTTTGTGGGCATCTGTTTTATACAGTTATTGAATAAACTATTATTTTGTGAAAAAGATATTCCTGGCCAGTGTATTTTATTTCACTCTAACATTTTTAAATGACCAAATGTGGCTAACAAAGACTCTTTTCTTCAACTTTGCTTAGTTGTGAAATAAGCAGTGTTTAGTTGTTACTGTAAAACTTGACAAGCATATGCAATGCTAAGGAAAATCTTGAGTCCAAACATGATATAATACACCAAATTTAAAACAATGGTTTTAATCACAGCAGTTATTTAATCTCTTTGAGACAACCTGGCTGAGTCATGGGTTGACAGTATGATTAGCTTACTTTAAGCTTAATGGTTCTCACCAAGGTATCTTTTAAACAACATTGTGTTGAAATAATAAGCTTTTGTTGACATTAATTGGGTATAGCTTGTAACATTTTGTTTTGGCCTTGCCACTCCTGAGAAATACAATATAAAAATCATCATATTGTTGCCATGTGGAGCACTAATTCACCATCCTGTATGGCTTTTTCAAAAATACACATTATACAGTATATATCCGTTGGTCTGTATATTCTGTTTTCAACAGCTTTATTAAGTAAGTATTGTTTAGATAAGGTATGTTTCTTAGATTTGTGAACGAGATTCCCTGCCTATTTGAAACTTATTTAACTTCTCACAGTCATACCTTTCACTTTGAAGCTTGTTATCCAAACTGCTTCTAGTTCAGACAGCTAAAGTTTAATTACCAGTGGTAACTACCTCATTTTAAACTCATGGCCTTGTGTTGCTAACTTTCTTTTTGAAGTACATTAATGATAACTATTAAAATTGCATATGTAATAGTATGCTTGCATAATGGAGTGAACGATAGCCAAAAATGCACCTAGATGAATGCTGTTAATTTAGGTTTCCTTGATGTAGATCACTTACTCAAGTAATTTACTTGGAGTCCCAAAACGAGCATTAAGATCAAACATCAAGTCAAAATGAGAATTGGGGAAAGCTGGGAGAACTGCACCATGAGCTGGGAGACAGGTTCCTCTCTCTTGCTGTGGAGCAATACTCAACATGGTATACCTTGCTTTAGCTTCTGGAACATATGACCACAATCAGTGCTTTTGGCTCAAACTCTTGTGATCAGATACTTAGAAAACTGGCCCAGACTGGAAAAAAAGATGTTTTTTTAAGTTGAGTGATTTCTGGAATAGTTGGCTTTATTATTTGGGTTTTATAAGTCTACCCACTAAAATGAACAAAAATCATCCATTTCACATCTGCTCAGAGGGGAAGCAGCTTCAGAAGCCTTTATGTTTGGGTCTCTCATAGACCACATTCCACATTTTAAATGATGACTCTCTTACATATTTAAGGAATCTGATGCTTCTACCAGATGTATGGATGAAAATAACTATGACAGGGAAAGGTGTTCCAATTACTTCTTGAAGTACAAAAACTGCCGGCGATTCTGGGTAAGCTCCTCTTAGTACACTTCTTGTAGAACTCTGTTCTTAGGCTCTTGACTGAAGCTGATATCAGTCAATAACCCACAGTCTTCTCCATGATGGCCACAGGGAAATTTAACCTTCAACCTTATCTTCTGTGTGTTTTTTCAACTCTATGGGGTCCTTGAGAGATTGTTTCATTCTATTCTAAGGGTTAATGCTTCGGTTTTAATATGGATAAGTCTTCCTAGGGAGGTATCTGTAGTCATAAAATAGCCTTGTTATAAATTTGTGTTTCCTGAAGAGGAAGAGAAAGTACAGTTTACCCTGACATCATAGATCTCTTTAGACTTCTGTTTCTGTCTCCTTTCCCACAGGCAATCACAGTTGTTACAATGTGATTAATACATTGATAATTCATTTTTGTTTCCCTGAGTACCATATCCAGCTCCTTCCTTTCCTTTTCTGATGGTTAGTATCACTTAATCATGCATAGCTTTTGTAGGGGACTGTGTACACTCTTGTCTGTACTTCAAGGCATATTCCTATCCCACTCCTGCTAATAATGTTTTCTGTGGGGATAATCACGTTGGTGTAAATGTTAATAGATTGAAACATTTGGAATTCCAGAAGTAGGTTTTAGAGTTTTAAAACTTAGGTTTTAGAATTTTCTTTTTGAAGAAACAATAGAAAATTACTGGCAAATTATTGCCTTTAATACATGACTGATTTTGATGATTTTTGTTTTTTTGTTTTCTGCCTATACACAGAATTCTGTCATGGTCCAAAGAAGACAAAATGGAGTTCAGCCATCTATGCCTACAGCAGCAGAAAGAGATGAAATTTTGAGAGCAATGCAAAAGATGCCCTATTGAGTATTTGCATTAAAATTGCTTCTATAACTTAAAGCAGATGGATTTTTTTTTTATTTTAAATCAGTGACTGTTGAAATCTTAAGACTTTACTGGTTTCATCCCAGGCAGTTTTGAGTTGTGCATGGTGAGACAGAATTCAGCTAGCCTTAGGTCTTTGGTGTTTGCTTTTAGTGCTGTGACAATAATGCTATTACCATGCTGTCCCTCATAGAAGAACAGCAATGTGAGGAAGGACCTAGAACAGACTCCTAGGGCTCTTACCAAGGTAGTGTTTCTCAGAAAGGAAATGATGCAAGCAACACTGTAGTGGGAGGAAAGCAAACTGTGATTGTGTTGAAGAATAGCCTGTGTTTAAAATGAGTGGAGAATGAGGTGGAGAGACGATGGGTGAATGAGTTGTGGGTGCAGTGAGCTGCAGACCTAGGGTTCTTCCCTGAAGTCCTCATCTAGCTGCATCCACCATCTTTAAGGTTAGTGCATTCACTAGGAGGTAAATGGGCACAAGAACACTGCAAATGTTTTGGCATATACAAAACTGCTAATTCTTTAAAGGAATGCTTGATTCTATGATTGTGGCTAAAATTCATGAATTTTTGGATCACCTAAAGCCACAGTACCAGTTCTTGGACCACAGTAATAGGCAAAAAAGAAATGGACTCTTGTAGAAGTAGAGTTTCTAGTTTCAGATGACGGTACACACTGTATATGGGGTTTATTAGATGAATCAGTGTGGGGGAGCTTAATTTCATTTAATGATAGGAAACAATGGGAATGTTTGCTGTGGTGACTAGATGGTATAGGAGCTCTCCTTATTCTCACTGCTTTTTCATAGTTTGTTTTGTATTTAATAATAATAATGTGTTCTAGGAAGTAAAGGGAAACTGTTGTGTCCCTTTCCATCACCTGGTCCTGAATCAAGAGTATCCGTGACTCTTCAATGAACTCTCCAGTCGAAAACCCAGCTCAGAAGTGTTTAAACCAGATGACATTTATTTTTTTATTTTATTTTTGAGACAAGGTCTTGCTATGCAGTCCAGCCTGGCCTGGAACTTGGTGGTCCTCACACCTCAGCCTCCTGAACACTGGGATAATATGTGAGCCACCACATCTGGCTTGATCTGATTGTTGGATGAGATTCTATTTGAATAAAAAATGGATTGAAAATATTTTGTGGCACAGAACTTGTGGGAGTGGCCAACCAATGTTTGGTTTAACTTGAGGCCCATACCAGGAGAGGGAGCCCATGTCCTACACTGCCTGGATGGCCAGGAACCAGAGACAAGATAGCCCAGAGACCTAGGATTGGTGCCTTGTCCAGTTATCATCAGAGAGGCAGAGACCTATAGCCACACACAAGGAGAGAGAATCTAAATTGGAGGTCTCCATCAGGTCTTTCCCCTAAGAGATTGGAGAACCCTGTAGAAGAGGGTGAGGAAAGATTGTAGGAGTTAAGAGGAGAGGGAGGACACTTGGAGAACATGGAACATGCCCACCAAATTAACTAAGGTTTCACATGGGCTTACAGAGACTGAAATGGTAAGCACAGGGCCAACTGGGGCTGCATCACATCCTCTGCATGTATGTTATGGCCATTAGTTTGGTGTTCTTGTGAGACTCCTAAAAGCAGATTGGATATGTCTCTGGCTCTTTTGCCTGCTCTTGAGACTCTCTTCCTCCTATTGGGTTCCCTTGTCTTGTATCTGGTTATCATCTCTTGGAGGCCTGCTCTTTTTTGAAGAGGAAGCAGGGGGAGTATATCTGGAGGAGAGGGGAGGTGGGGATGGGGAGCTAGGAGTGGTGGAGGTGATTGCTATGTATTGTGAGAGAAGAGCATTTTCAAAAAAAAAAAAACATTTTGGGTTGATTTTTGTGAAAGTGATGATTTCAGGTAGGATTTCAGAAGATTTACTACATACCTGTATAAGCGTTTCAGTACACATAAGTGTAGCTGAAGTTTCCCTATGTCCAACCTGGCCTATGGTCGGGACAAATCTCTCTTACCTGCCAGTCCTGCAGCTGCTTGGACCCAAGTAAACACAGAGGTTTATATTAATTAAAACTGCTCGTCCATTAGCTCAGGCTAACTATTGCCTAGCTCTTACACTTAAATTAATCCATAATTCTTACTTATGTTTAGCCACGTGGCTTTGTACCTTTTCTTAGTTCTGCCTTCATATCTTGCTTCCTCTGTGTCTGGCTGGCGTCTCCTGACTCAGCCTTCCTTTTCCCAGAATTCTCTTTTCAGCTTGTCCCACCTATACTTCCTGTCTGACTACTGGCCAATCAGCATTTTATTTATTAACCAATCAAAGCAATACATTTACATGATATCCACAGCACTTTCTCTTTTTTTTTTTTTAAGTTTTTTTTTTTTTTTTTTTTTTTTTTTAAGTTTTTGCTGTGGTTATCACTCTGTATAAATAAAATGCTGATTGGCCAGTAGCCAGGTAGGAAGTATAGGCAGGACAAAGAGAGAGGAGAATTCTGGGAAGTGGGAGGTTGAGGGAGAGATGCTGCCAGCCACCATGATGAGAAGCATATGTTCAGATACTGGTAAGCTGTGAGCCATCAAATACCCCAGAAGAATATAATATTACCTAAGTAAACAGCAAGTGCATTGTAAGCAACTTCTAAAAATCTAGAATGATAGAGACAGCTGGCTGCCTGGACAGTCACCCAAAGTTCTGTAATGTTGGGGCATCCATCTTTAGTCCACAGGCCTAGAGTCTTTCAGTCGCTTTTGTGTGTGTGTGTGTGTGTGTGTGTGTGTGTGTGTGTGTGTGTGTGTGTATGTGTATGTGTGTCCTGTAGAATGTCTGGCAGTTTCTTTTGCAAAGCAGGAACCTGAAGGACCATCTTGTCTTGTAAAGTTCAGTGGTCACCTTCCTATGGGTCCTGCATGTCCAGTTGATGTCACCAGCCAGACACAGAGGAAGCAAGACATGAAGGCAAAAATGAGAAAAGGTGTGAAGCCATGTGGCTAAACATAAATGAGAATTATGGGTTAATTTAAGTGTAAGATCACTTACAATTTCAGAGGTTCAGTCCATTATCATCATGGTGGGACATGGTGGCATGCAGGCAGACATGGTGCTGGAGAGGTAGCTGAGGGTTCTACTTCCTTGTGCTGGCAACAGGAAGTGGTCTGAGACACTGGGCATGACTTGAGCAGATAGGCGACCTCAAAGCCTACCTCCACAGTGACACACTTCTTCAAACAAGGCTACATCTACTCCAATAAAGGCACATCTCCTAATAGTGCCACTCCCTAGGAGGGCCAATTACCTTTAAACTACCACTGTGGTGGACTATTTTCCTAGTCCTCTCAACCCTGTGGGTTCAACCAAGCACTGTGAACAAAATTCTCTACATAATATCAAAAGTATTACATAAATAAGCAAGTAGGATTTAACTCAGGAATAAAGATTATTCTGATATCTGAAGATCAATTAATACAATGTAATAAAGGCAATCAAGTACAAAAAAAATTAAGTATAAGAGCTAGGCAATAGTTAGCCTGAGCTAATGGCCGAGCAGTTTTAATTAACATTAGCCTCTTTGTGTTTACTTGGGTTCAAGTGTCTGCAGGACTGGCTGGTGAGAGAGTCCTGACCATGGGCCAGGTGGGACACAGGAAAACGGCTTAATTTATCAACCAATCAGAACAGCACATTCACAACATACAAAGCAATATCCACAACATGTAAGCATATTCCCTGGCTTAGAATTTTAATGTCACCTCTACATAGTTGTTAGATCTCAAAACAGACCTAGTTGCCAGGTTCTCCCATCATCCCTCAGTCCCCATCTGTTACAGGGTTCTCCTGGCTGGCATATCCTACCTCCTACCCTAAACTTCTCCAACCCAGGTATTCGATTGGGCTTCTCTCCCCAAGTTGCCCTTCCCTATATAATCCAACCATTTTGGTTACTTGGCTCTTTGGTCTACCTTTTACCCACATGGCCTCTTGGTTCTGCTCCTCTCCTCTCTCCCCTCTCTTCATATGGCCTGGCTCAGTCTGGTCATGTTCACTCTAGACTCTCAGATGTCCCTGCCTCTGGCTATGCTCTCCCTTTTATCTACAGTAAACTTTCTCCTCCATTATATACAGTCATGTCCTTCCTTTTTTATTTCTTTTACTCATTCATCTGGTGCTGAAACCCAGGAGTGGTGTAAATGAATAACCTTCCAAGGAACTTAGCCTCTTCAAACCAAGATGCTGATTTGACTCTCCTAAGGTATGTATGGATCATTTGTTTCTGATGACTTCTGCTACCCACAAAATTTAGTTCCAAATTCTAGAGTCCAGTTCTTCAGCTGCTGCTTCCCTCTACCTGTTTTCTAACCATTTGTCTCTCATCTAAGTGTCTCTCTGGGCTCTGGCCTATTATGCCCTCCATGTGGTCACCCACATGTTTCTCTGGCTCATGCAGCTTAGTATGCCTCTAGCCTGCTACACCAATGTGGACATCTTCCTTTTCTCCTCTCCTCTCCTGGATAAGTGCCACTGTGGCGCTCCCTGCTTTGTCTGCTTTTACTACAAAAACCACACTGGTGTGCTTGGAAGCTCCTTTTGCCCCCACTGGGCTCCAATCACAAGGTAGATGAACACCTTTCCTTTGTGATTTAGAGCATTTTTTTTTCCCATTCCACCTGGGGACACCCTGGCCGGAAATTCTTGTCAGTTCTCTCACTTTCCCCTAGGAACTGCAGGCCTACTGAGCTATCTCTCAGCTCCTGCTGGCCAGTCCTGCACTCTCAGTTCCCTCTTGGAGCTTATAGGAACACGCCCACACTGTAACCCCTGCCCCCAGTGGTGTTCTGTTTTGCAAACCTTCCTCTTTTCCTCCATGGACTCAGGTTTTTTTTTTTTTTTTGTTTTTTTTGTTTTGTTTTTTTGAGACAGGGTTTCTCTGTGTAGCTTTGCGCCTTTCCTGGAACTCACTTGGTAGCCCAGGCTGGCCTCGAACTCACAGAGATCCGCCTGCCTCTGCCTCCCGAGTGCTGGGATTAAAGGCGTGTGCTACCACCG